TTCCCTCCCCAAATATTTCCTCTTTCCATTTTATTCCTTTTATTCAGTCTTGCTGATATTTTTTCAGCTTTTCAGAGACTTAACATTTTAAGTTATCCATATCTCAGGCAGCGAGGAAAAAAAGAAAATCCAGCATATTGTAACAGGTGAGTGCATCTGAAATACAAGTTGTCATTAGCTGACCACTGTGAATTTTAATGTCATAAAACAAATTAGGTGGAAACCTGTCAAACATTCTTGTAGAGATTTGTGAATCCTTACATGATTTCTTTGCCCCATGCAAATTGAGTCAAAACTGTAACTGCAGCTTAAAAGAATCTCTAATGAAATAAAACCTGACAGATAGATCTTGATTCATGCTTTGTGTCCAGTACACTCAAATGAACAATAATGTAGAAAAGTTGTTGATTTAAATTTAACTTTCTAAAATAATATCAGGCTATACTTTAGAATAATGTGTATTTTAACAACTCACTCATGAAATCAAGATAGGGCTTTCTTTAAAGTGTTAATTCTAGTTGTATTTAACTTAGATCCATAAAATAATTATTATTCTTGCAGTCTAGGTTACAATAAAACATGTTAAAACATAATAGAATTATTTAATTACCACCTCTATGCTACATCTGCAGCATTGATGGAAACACGGAAACAATACAAAATACATCAGTAGTAACATGATGTGCCAACTATCCTTCATCCTCTGGAAATGACAGAAGTGAGGTTTCAACACCAAGAATCATCCCACCAAGGTTATAGTGCAGTTTCTGCAATATCAGTTGAGAGGTACAAAAAAATCAGCAGGTGCTCAGCTTATCCTACAGTACTCTCAATATTTAATGACACAACTTTCTTTAGCAGCTATTCTTGCAATGCTTGCCCAAGACTAGTGGACCTAATGGACCACCAATCCTAAAATGGACCAGAGGAAAGGAAAGACTGGTTTTCTGCCAAGAAGCCACAAGAGGATGATGCTTCAAACCTACTGAGATTCAGCTGAGAGCTGAATTAATTTAGTCATTCAGAAGTTACACATCTAGTCTAAGCTAGTCATTCAGGCTACCTCTAAATCTAATGGACAGAGGTTGGCATTTCCAGAGGGTGATTCAGCCTACTCTGAAGTATGTGTCTAAAACCACACTTTCACTATCAGCTTAATCCAGTACAAGTCAGCATCTTCCTGTGCTCTAAAGTCCCTTGGGGATCAAAGGGAAATCATGACAACATGATAATTCATCTTCTAATCTCATACTCTATGAGCTTTCATATCTCACAAGTCTCATGATATGAGAGTCTAAGAATTTGGGTGAGGAATGAACTTAGGCAAATCATCAGCCCATTTTTTCCTAGAAATGTCATGCTCAATTTGTGCTAACTATCCTCCACAGTGCTTTTAAGATAACATAATCTAGCCCAGAAACTGGGAGTGCATGCCACTTTCGCTGAGTCTGATTTGTCTATCAGGCTTTTCAGGAGCTGTGCTAACACATGCCCATTAGCTGCCAGGGGTGAAACCCCAGCAAGAATGAGGCATCCACACACACTTCCACCTGTCTCCTGCTGACAGGCATTAGCACTTTCTGGTGTCTGAAAACAGGAGTCCAGAATGTGGCGTACAATTTATCACATGATTTGCTTTAATCTCAAGACAACTGGTACTTTGCAGCTGTGACCTGGAGAGTGAAGGTGTTTCCTTTTCTGCAGTGTGACCTTTTACAGGTTATACTGCATTAGAGGTTGACCAAGCCTGGGCCAATGGCTCCTCAGAAATCTTTGAGGCATGAAGAAGCAGGAGGAGCAACACCATCAACCTCTCTTTTTCCCATCACAGAGAGGGAAAACACATGCCTCATGCTGGGAAAATCAGCAAGGGACCACAGGAGCAGGTGCATCTCCTGAGCACTGCACAGTGAAACAATCTGAAAATTACAAAATCAGTCTCAATTTTATAACCTTTACATGAAAAGGATTCACTACAAGGTACCCGAGAACCAATGGGGATGTTAAATATACAACTGAAGACATGCTTCTCTGTTTGCATGCAAAAATGAGGCTGAGCTAAATTAGAAAATAAAAAAGTTACAGTTTGGTCAACACACCTTCTTGGACCCAGGGTGATTTTGGCAAAGTTATTTCAGTCCTTCCCAAATAAATATTTCTAACTTGTTAATTAATCTTTGAGAGTTCTGAAAGGGAGGACAAGACATCAAAGTTATTTAGCTAGGATACACAAGACCATGGCATCTTCTGAGAAGGAAAGACTTTGCTCTTGTGTTCATGATCAAAACACCTCTTTTCTGTAAGCACACTGTCTTTTCAATTGCTTCTCAGCTTCGAAAGAGCTTCAAGTGGTAGCAGCACTTCATAGACCACCTAACTGAGCCGTGAACACCCAGATCATCAAAAACTGTGATTCATACACCATGTTGGAGACTTAATTTAAATTATGCATCTTGGTTCATGCTTTTCAATGCACAATTAAATATGGATATGCACTTAACCCAGGGGAATTACTGAAAATCCTCATTCTGTTTTGCAAATCAGATCTATTGTTACACAGGTATGACAAACTCAACAGCATCTAATATGTCACTGAAGTTAAAAATAACAAAAAAAAAAAAAAAAGGGAAGACTCCTATTGCCCTACTGCCTTTTGTTGATATTGAATTAGAAAGTGAACAACAAAAAAGACTAATATCTGCATCAAAATGCCATATTAGCCTAAAAAGCTTCAGGAGAATTAAAAGTCTTAATGTACTAAATGGCTTGGGGATTATCAAGAGATGTTGTCCACAGTTATAGTCTCTCCCTCTCCAATTTACATCATTGGCCAAGTATAAAAATTCTTCCCCCGCCTCTTAACAATTTCTCTTCAAAGATCAGGTATAGACTGTGGCTGGACTAGATGGACCATTGGTCTGCTCTGGTCTGATGAATTCCATGCAATAATGCTAATTAACCTCTTGGAGAATATCCATACATAAAACTGTTTCATAATTCATACATAGTGAGCATCTAGGTTGTTGTGTTGAATTTAGAATTGAGTTCAAGAGAGAGGCTGTTGGAAGCTGCGTTGAAAAAACACCCTCCTCCTCAAAAAAATCAAACAGAAAACAAAAAAGCCCCCAACAGTGCAACTTCAGGACTTAGGAGAGGAGGTGGAAAAAGTATTCATTTTGGAGAGAAAAACAAAACAAAACATAATCGCTCATCTCATCCACAATTAAACACAACCTCTCACCCCACCCACACTTAGAGCCACATTTTCTGTTTAGGAAAGAAACCACAGATCAGCTAATTTTTTATATATTTTTTTTTAATTTTTTTTTTTTTTTTTTTTTTTTTTTTTTTTTTTTACAGTAACTAAGTTTTGCAAACACTAACTGAACTGGGGAGAATTATTTTACAAACATAACACACTAAGAATCAGAAATTTGTTTGGTCATCTTCCTATCACCAATCAATTTAGTAATTTAGGAAGACTTGAAAAAAAAACACAACAAAACCACATCTGTCCCCTCCTGGCCTTCCTAGATATGTATCTTCTGATCAAATAAGAATGATTATAGTAGAAAGAAGTTCCAGATTGATTCAATATTCCTAAACAAAGGAAGGTTGCTACAGAAAGAATAACCAATCTCAGAGGTTTTCACAAACATGGAAGCTCAATTTCCTTCCCATCAAAACTGAAACGAAAAAATCTCTTATAACACATTCTCATAAGTACTGTTTTAGCTTGGGAACAAAAATCTTCTTTAATCCTGGTTTAGCTTTTAATATTACATCGTACATTAAAATTCATAAAGTAGTTCATTCCAGGCAAAACAAACTACTTTTTAGTTCTGCTCTGCAAATAGCACAGGAGGTACAATAAATGCTGTTGCTTTCAGAACAGCTTTTATCAGGACAAGGTTTACTACTCCATTATTACAGTGGCGCCTGGAAGTGCCGTTATAGTTAAGTGTCAGGGTTTCCATTAACTCTCCTCCATGGTGGTTTTTGTGGGGGGGTGAGATGGTTGCATTTATTATTTTGTTCATTTTTACTTTCATTAAAATGCAACTTGGCACAAAGACTGTCAACCTAAATCTCAAATTCTGCAGACTTAAAAATAAAAATTTTGCTGGTGGTAACATCTGGCATGTGCAGGTGTTTGAACTCCAGGTCCCCTCCACCGAGTTTCATAGGGAGTTCCTTGCTATGGAGGTTTGCTGGTCCTCAAACACCAGCAAAAGCAGTGTCCTCTTCAAGACCAGTCTTTCCAGAGTGTTGTCCTAGCTCTAAGACCCAAGCTGAAATTGCTTTAGCATGAAGGAACTGTTATTTATCTGTAGTCAGACAGATGGCAGGATTATATTTATGAAAACAAAGGTTCTGTCGATTGACCATCCAGAACCATGACTCATGCAAGATTTGTGGACACTTCTTAAAATGTTGCCTTGTTAAAATGATATTCTGCTTGTTGATTTTACATGTACTCTGCTTTTACACAGGATCATGATGAGCCCCAAGAGCCAGCACAAAATTTCTTTGGGCAATATGAGTGGCAAGAGGGACTTCTTCCTCAGCTCTGCTGAAATGCAGTTTACTTGTCCTGAGAAGGAAGTGTTCATAACTGCAGGACGACTAACAAGCTTTAACCAGAATATTCTGGAAAAGAAAATCTGTGACTTGTTCAACTGTCTCCATCCTCTCCTAAATTGTACTAAGGAGGAGGGAGTCCTCTTGACCCCGTCCCCTATACTGCTCCAATGGGAGGGAAAGGCCATCCCTAGCACCTCCCTGGGTAACTCCATCTACGCTGAACACAGCTTCACACTCAGCATCCCCTGAAGTATCCCCACATCCCTTTGTTCCCATACAATGTGCAACAGAATCATCCTCTGAGCTTGACTTAGGGATACCCAGAAAGGACCTCTGTGGGGTGATCTGCAAGATGAAGGTGTTGAAGAGGTAAAAAACCCCAAACACAACAAACAGAACAGGAAAGGGTATTTTTTAGTTCCTTCTAGGTTAGAGAAGTTAAACTATGTCTCCATGCAGTATGTACCTGAGGGAGATGCTAAAATTCATACACTCCATTGCCCCAGGAAAGAGCCTAACAGAGAGGCTTCTGCCCCTGGAGGTGGCAGGATGAACAACGTCCCAGGGAAAAAAATTGTGTACACTGTCTCCTCCCATTCAGTCCACCACTATGAAAGATGGTAGCAGACTGTTACAACTTGATCAACTTAGAGCTATACAGGTATCCCAAAAACTCATGCATTAGAGACTAATGATTTCTATTTAAAAAAAAAAAAAAAAGTAAAAAAAAAGATTTTGCTTTTTTGTTTAAGTCAAAGAAAAGGGAAAAGTAAGGGGGACAAAGAGCTTCTTAAAGGATTTCAAAAAAGAACTGGAAACAATCCAGATACATTAGCTCAAGTAGCAACTAGTAAGAATGCTGTAAAAATGAGATAAATTCAACACAGTTCCTTCTAACTCAGGCCCCAGGGTTTATGCTCAGTGAGTTCCTACTATTCTATCAGACCTCCAAGGTCACACTTTCTGTTTTTGCATGCAACAGTATGCAAAATTCACACAGAACAAGCTCAGCAGCTAAATGGTTAAGTCTGCTCTACTGTCTGGCCACCAGTTGGCAACACAAAAATGCAAAATAGATCCTCTTCAGGATGTTTATTTTCACATCCTTCCTAAACTGATAACTTGCAATTGCAAAATAAACCTTCATGTGTGGCATATTAGCTCTCATTTTTCATGGTTTCATAGTTTAATTGTTTCAAATGTTACACTGGTCTAAAGATTTAATATTAAATATGTTGGCTCTTGCATAAATTCTGTTGTCAGGATAAACGGTCTGTTTTGTCTTTCGACAGTTATCCAAGAAGCTCACAGCTAAGCTAGAAAAATATTATGCTGTATTCCTGTATAGTGAACTTTAAATAATTGCTTAAAATAAATTTAGTAGTGAGGACACTAGTAGTTTCATTTTCTTAGTATCACATATTCAATAAACTGTGGACACCTGGGGGGGTATTGGAGTGGTAGTCTGCATTAACAATTTTGCAGCATCCAGCCTAAATTTCTGCTATGATTCATAAAGTTATACTTTCTAGTTCAACAACTAGAACAATTTCATTACTATTTCTACCATTAAGTATCATACTTATGTTAACAACAGAGATATTTTTATTTTAAAATTTGGGGCTTGCACTTAGTAGCAGGTGGCAAGTACCACTTGTGTTTATAGGTGGGTAATTCTGGCAACATATAAAAAGGTCACACAGAATCCCAACTCAGTAGTTTCTACATCCTTGGTTAATCCACTAGGTAAAGTGCAACTGTTTTGCTGCATAACCCCCAACAATATACAAGCTAGAAAAATAACTGGTTTGTTCTGTAGACCTCAAGCATTAAGCTTTAAGGTTTCCTTGTTAACTTGTTTTCCTCTTAAAAAGGATTAAAACAAAACTGTTTGGTGTTTTAACTTTGAACTGTCACGATTAGGTTAACTATACTCTTGAATTCCACTAAAAAATTAAATGTAATTATGAACATGAGCACAGTGGAGACAGGTAATTTCCTCCCCTCCAGCCTCTAAATCTGGACTTTGTCAGTTAGGAAAAGCCCTAAGTCTCACTTTTCTTCTCGCTGCAAGAGTTTTATATCGTTTTAAGTGTGAATTAAAACCAATATAGGGACTACCTCTGACTCCACATCCTGCTGGTAAGTCCTGTAATTAACTCTGTTCCTTAGCTGTGAAATTGCCCAAGACCACTTGAGACAGACTGAGACATTACCTTGGCAGAAAGAGATCAGTTAAGATGGAGGGTTAGCCTTTGCTCTAAATTACCTGGGCTGTGGGAGCAGGTACAGATATTAAAACAAACTCAAATGTTATTTTAAACACAGTTATCTATATTTAACTATTTCCCACTAAAGCATTACTATGTAAATAGACTCTCATCCTTTATCTTGAGGAGTATCTATAGTGGATTTCACAGACTAAACTCAGTTAATGATAACAAAACTAGACCATTAGCAGAGTCTGTTTTTTCTGCTATTTTTTCTTCTCTTCTTGTACAAAGTACTGCAGCAGGTCAAAGTGATCCTCTGTCCTCCCTTTTCCTACAATTGTGTTATTTGTTACTCTCTTGTGGTCCTCAGCATCCATTAGCTGCAGAAAAACTAGAAAAATAACCTAGAGAAATTTATAACATTCAGAATGGGTATGGAATATAGTCATAGGCACATGCCTGAGCTTGGTTAATAACATTTCTGTAGATCATAGTTACATAGGTACAACCTTGCATAGGTACAACCTTGAACCACAGCAATGCAGAGTACTTCAGAAAAGGTATGCTGTTTTTTAGACTGTTTCATTCACAACTGTGTTTCTTCTTTGTGGAAATCCTATGCATTCCTATGGTTCACATCTACACTTCTCATGTACCCTAAAACCAGCATCAGAGTTTCCTTAACAGACACCAGGACTACACCATCTATCAAACTTTATAACTTTTGGAGAGTTAAACCAATAGCCCCACTACATTTTGCTTAAATCAACAGGAGTTTAATTTGAACAAATACTAAACTAAGTTTTAAAGTACGTATCCCAGTCCTTCAGAGAGATGGAAATAGCAACTCTGTTACATTACCCAGTTGTCAGTAGCTCAATCTGGTAAAAGCATGCACAGCATTTTGGGATGAAGTCTTCTATCACACGTCCCTATAGTTTTACCTGTTCCTGTTCTGGAAGATACTTTTTAAAGCAATAGAATAGAACAAAATCATAGAACAGAATACTCTTACTTGGAAGGGACTCATCGGGATCATTGAGTCCAACTCCTGTCTCTACGTAGGGCACCCCAAGAATCACACCATGTGCCTGAGAGCACCATCCAAACACTTCTTGGACTCAGGCAGGCTTGGTGCTGTGACCACTTCCCTGGGGAGCTGGTTCCAGGGCTCAACCACCCTCTGGGTGAAAAACCTTTTCCTGATATCTAACCTAAACGTCTCCTGATTCAGCTTCTTGGCATTCCCCCAATTCTGTTGTTGCTCACAGGAGTGAAGAGGTCAGTACCTGCCCACTCAGTTTAGCAGTCCAAATCCTTCAAAATCCCTATCTGAACCTCTAATATTTAAACCAACACCTAAGAATGATAGGAAAAAAAGACAGCTCAGAGCCAGCATCTTCCAGGCCCAGTAAATCTTGTACCTCAATAAAACAAGCAAAAAACTCTGTAGGGGCCATAATGGATAAAATTTATCTTAAAACTAGAAAATAGGTAGCAATAAACTGCTACTTCCATCCATTATATTCTTAAATTGAATTTGTGACATGCACTGCAAATAACGACTCTACAAGCATTTTAAAAAGGCAACAGTAAGAGCTTTCTTCTTTTTAAGAAAGGCATCACCCAGCAGGACAGTGAGAAAGCACAATGAGCAGATATCAAAGAGAGAGAGAGCAGTTTACTTGGGGAGGCCGGCTGGGTGGTGTGCTTATCAGAGGTGCGGGGCCCATCGCGGAGGCTGCGTTCAAGCTCCTTTCCCTTTCGTCCTGGTAAATTCGATCTCGTTCGGCTTCTGGCAGCTGCAAGAAGTTCTGCATAGCCCGAAGGTTTACCAGTAAGGACTGCGAGGCAGTCTTGGGGTCCTCTTCCTTTCGGAGGATTTCTGAGAGCAAGCCCTGGAGGGAGGGAAATAAAAAATACGCTGGAGAGTTAGCCCAGGTGAGCGCCTGGAAAGCTGTGCTCTGCAAAGCCACTCCTTAGCAGCCTTCTTCCTTCCTTCCACTGGGCTGAGAACAACAGCAGCAAATGCACTATTCAGTCCACACTGGAATATATTAATGGCATTTTAGGTAGCAGAGAGCCTTAATTGTACCCTTAATTTTATTATGCATCTGGTTTACATACAACATAAACTGAATCTGCCTAATAGGTCTCCCTCTTTTTACTGGCTTAACTTGCCATGAAATCTTTCAGTTGGCAATCACAAGACATTAAGACTAAGTGAAACACAGATAGTCAAGAGGGTGTTCTCAGGCTTCCCAGACAAAATGCTTAGCCAACCTAAAAAAAAAATGGCCTTCCACATTTCTAGCAACTTAAACAGCTTTTGGAAAGGAAGTGATATTTCACAACTAATCTGAAATTATAAACTCGTTAGGTTCTCAAGTACTGCTTAACTGACTCAGGTCTGTATTTTTTGTAAGACAATACATCGTTTTGAGAGTTGTATATTGGAGTTCAACAACAAGTGAAGAAATTCACTGTTGCATGCTCCCCCTTCTTCACCCACCGTCCCCCTCTCTCATCCAGGTCAACCCTAATCCTCACCCAGTCCATGGCTTGGGCTATTTGAGCACCTGCTGTGTAGGTCCTACTTCCTAAGTCCATGTACCATTGTTGTTCTTTGATTATTTTCAGAGTCCAGCAACAACAGACACAAGCGAGCGCTGGGGAATGAGAGGCAAACAGCAAACGGGGCATCCCTAGCAGCAAGCTGGAGATGGCCAGGCTGCAGATGATGGCATGCCACCAGCTGCTTGTACAGACCTCACTGGGTTTCCTATGCAATAATTTCATCTTGGTTCTCAGCAGTTGAGCAGGACTGGCAGTCTGGGATACCTAGTTAGTCTAAAAGATTAAATATTTATGAACCTGTGAGTACCACTGCAACTTTAATGTCAACAGGTTCTTGAAATCTCCCCCCTGCCAAATTCTCTTTTTAAATATGTCAGGCATACAAAATGCTGTTGTCTTGAAGTAACAAAGCAGTGATAAGAAAACTTTTTGCAAAAGCGAATGTGAACTTCTTTTTAGAAAAAATGCTGTTGCCACACTGGGACAAGGACAGGGTTGGTATGAGAGGCTTTTATTGCTAGTGTAACATGTGAACACAGATGTGATTGGAAAGAAATAACACAACTCAATGCTTCTTTACTAAAGAACTGTTCTAAATTATTTGGGATAACAGAGAGGTGAATGGAGGGGAGGGAGGTAGGCAACAAAAGAGCTAACACAAATTAAGACAGGCAATCCTGACTGAAGATAACCATTCCTAAGGGAGTGCTCCAGATAGCTAGAGTCCAAGAATCAACCCACTCTGTAAGGAAGTCTGATGCTCACAGAACCTATGGAATTTGTACCCTCTCTCAAAGGTCCTATCCTATCAGGCTAAAGCCCTTCACAAAGGTGTTGCAAAGCCATCGCTCTCAGGCAGCTGGTCAGAGCCCATACAGTGCAGCTACAAGCTCTGCATTTGCCCTGCTGTCCTCCATCTCTCAGGGGTGATGAAAACAGAGCTGCTAACCACTACCCTGGGTCCAGCATGGTCCTCATGGCCCTGCCTGTGCCTGCACACGTAAAAGGGAAATGGGATGGAAAACATGAACAGTGTCTTCAGCACTAAGCATGAAAAATATTCCGGAGGAGGGTTAAAAAACATAATAATTCTGGGGCTACTTTCTTACCACTATTCTTCATCCCTCCCCTTTTCTAGTATCTAGACAGAAAACACCTAAAAGGCAAATAAACGAGTTACAAAGAAAAGCCACATTTGGGTGGAGTATAAGTTTTCAAAATTTTCTCAATGAATCATCTAATAATAAGTTAACATTTTAGCAAATATGGAAATTAAGTTCTTGTCTATAATTTTTTTCTACTTCTAAATACTCAAACCCACAGTTATGATTGTTTGTCAATGGTAGGGTTACATGACCCATCCTCCAAGAGAGTCCAAAAATGATTGGTGCCGCTGGAGACAAGGCAAAGCTGTCTGCAGAGCACAGAATGTATGATGGAGGTGTAAACACATGTGATTTCTGGCTGCTACTGTGCTGAAAACAACCACATCAGGATTAAACAGAAAAAACTAAACTCAAGTGGAGTGATCATTGGCAGGAGAGGACAACTCCTTACTAACAGCCAGCCTACTGTCAGCCACAGGAAATGTCCCTGAAAAATACTTTAGCCCATAATAGAAAATATTTGCTCATATAAGCCTTTGCCACATAGTGGGCAGCTAAAAAAAGCAGACAAGGCTGTTTTTCTTCTATAACTTCTCTCCCCTCAGTGAAATAAGTAAACAAAGGAAATTGGGGTTTGTATTTTTCCTGCATTGTCAGTATAACCATTGCTGCAGGACACCTCTTGGTGACTAGAAATGCCATTAAGTATTTACTCCCCTCTCCTTCCCCCATCACTGCCACAACTCTGCATGAGCTGAGAGGAGAGGACACAGATGCAGAGAAAAGAGGGGAGGTGAGAGGCTGAGGAGAAGGCCAGGAGGAGGTGTTTGCTTCTAGAAGCTCTGAACCTAAAGGTCAGAATATGTGAGGAAATAACATGAAAAATAAGGTGTAATAACAGGTGCAGGCAGTCTTACAATACAGTTTACCTGCTTCATTGCTACTGCTTACATTTTCTGAGCACAAAAAAAGATTGTTAGACAACGTGTAAAATGGGAAAGTCCTAGAAAGAAAGCATTCTGCCCCATGCTGACAGGCAGAGATTTACTGCTTGTTTCACCGGGTTTGAACTGGTTTGCTAAGATAAAAGTCTTGGTGTGATGTCCTGGTATTGCACCTCAGGTTGCACAAAAGCTAATTGTTGCTCTCTGTAGAGATTGTAATCAATGGCAGGCTCAGAGTCCTCCTCTCTGTTCCTCCCTTCTATTCTTTTCACACTGGAAATGTATTTTCTTAAAATGTTACCAGGTCCCCACTGAAGAAAAGAAAGTTTACACATCACCACAAGTATAACTCGTTACTAATTGCACAAAAACGTTCACTAAATATTATCAAGGCTTTCAAAAGCTAATTATGAATTCTTTAAAACTGGAGATAAACGAAAGTGTCTGCCAATATGAATAAAAACACTGTCTGTCTGGCCCCCAGTTTGTCTCCTCTTTGAAACTAATCACAGATTCAAATAGATTTTATCAGCCTGATAGAACTTCAAAGCTGCCAGAAGCAAAATGCAATTTGCCCAAACCTCCACAAAACATGCAGAACACCCTGAATGTTACCCCCTGTCCATTGCAGGGTCCTCCCATCCTGTGTCCAGGTGGAAGATTATTTGCAAGCTCCACCCACAAGCCTGGATCCCTGCCAAGTAAGTTATAAGCAGACACATTTATCTGCGTCGCTTAGTAGCAAGAGGAGAGCTGTCATGATAGTGTAATAGCACCTTTTTACCTTTTATTCAATAGTGATATGGATAGTGTGCTTTTTCTTAAATTACACTATGAAGAATTATATGAATACAGTGGCAATTTCTGTTATACTTAAGCAGGCAAATTTCTCTCTACCACATAATTTACAGAACTCAAATTCAATAAAACATTACATGATGGTCCATTACTGTTATCAATTTTGAATAATCCATCTTCATTTTTCATTTTACTGGAAAATAAAGTGTGCCAAAGACAAAGTGGAAGAAAAAAAAAATAAGTGCCTGAGAAGGTGGTTTGTGTAAACTTAGGTTTTGTTTTAAAATTACACAGAGCTGTTTAGTGCATCCAAGTATTCTCCCTCGAAAGAGCAATTGCCCAGAATTAGCATGAGCACAGGCCTACATACACAGAAGTTTTCAAATATGAGGAAAGGCATTACAGATGAACGAAAGGCAATGTATCCGGACAGCTAATATTTTAAACAAGCATAAGGGTGAAGTAGAAAGGAGGGGGAGAGAAGAGGTATCTGGCAGAAACACCGAGAAATACTCAAAAACCTTGAGATGAAAAACTGTCACTGGTGGGAAGAAATAAAATTACAATAGTCAGACAAGGCAAAAGCAGCGAAAAGCACTCCCCCTCCTTTTGTGGAGATGGAGCCGAGAGGTCACCTCCGTACAGCAGCACCCAAGTTCATGCAACAAATGTTATGGTTGAAAGTGTACACAAACAGAGACAGGCAGCCCCAGGTCACTGTTCCAACCACAACCATGACTAACACAATCCCTTGCTCGCGCAGGATGTACATGTCGCCCAGCCCTGCACCAGGTTAAGCTACACTTCCAAGTCAAATGTCAGGCTCGCTTGTGGGAACCCGAGCTTTCCGTTTCCTGACTCATGTTTACATTTACAAACGCCAGACAGAAATGGCAGAGGAGTTTGTTTATTTGTTTAGGGCACCGAAGGTGATTCAGCCAAACAAACACCGATGCTCCACTCCAGCTCTCTCAGGAAAAATAAAACAGCGTAAAGAACTTGTGGGTTTCACTGCAAATTTGCAGAGGCGGGCTGAGCCACTTTGCTGATGTGTGTGTTCAGAGGAAGAGTGTGGCCAGTAAGTCATGTTCCCCTGTATTCTGCTCTGGTGAGGCCACATCTGGAATGCTGTCTCCAGTTCTGGGCTCCCTAGTTCAGGAAGGTTAAGCAGCTACTGGAAAGAATCTAACACAGGCTCACAAAGATGATTAGAGGAATGGAGTGTCTGCCCTATGAGAAAGGGGTCTGTTTAGCCTGGAGAAGAGGAGACTGAGGGGGAATCTCATAAATGCTTATAAATACCTAAAGGATGAACGTAAGGAGGATGAGTCCAGTCTCTTTTGGACTCTTGTGTCCAATGACAGGACAAGAGGAAATGGGCAGAAGCTGGAGCATAGGAGGTTCAACCTAAATATAAGGAAAAACTTATTTACTGTGACGGTAACAGGGCACTGGAACAGGCTGCTGTCCCAACTGTAGGCGATCCTGCTCTAGCGGGTGGTTGGACTAGATGATCTTCAGAGATCACTTCCAACCCGACCACTCTGCGACTGTGACTCTGTGATGTTGAGGCTGCGGCAGAGGCTGGTGTGGGACATCATGCTCTGGGGGGGCTGCCCCAATGCATCAGCACCATCACCCACAGCTACCCAATGCCACCTGGGCAATCAAGCTCATCACAAACACCATTTTCTGGCCAGCAAAGCACAGAAAAATACTGAACTGGCTCTTTCAAGAGAGCGGCAGTGTCTGCACAGTGCACTGAAAAAAATGTAATGTTTATTAATTTGGTCAGATGGCAACTGAAACATAAGCTGCTCAATTTAACGAAATTACCCCAAACCACATTTGGTAGCCATGCATGAGGTGAAACTCAGATCTGCTCGCACAAATCCTGACTCAACAAACTTTTCTGTGGTGCACTACAAAGGGGTGCTAACAGGATTCAAGCTGTTCACTTGCAACCAGCGTGCTGGAATCGCAACTGCTGAAGGACAAACAGAACTTCAGACCCCACCACACTCTGAAGCATTCCTAGAAGGCTCACTGTGAAATTTCTCATGGGAAGAGGTGTTCCACCCTCCAAAATAACTTCTGCTCCCTACAACAACTGTTCTATCGTGCCTGTATAGATGCTTATTTTCATTCAAGTTACAGCTACCTCGGACTCCTCTTTGATTAAACTTTGCAAGGTGCATTCCTCAGAACTACACAGTTTTGAAACTACCATTTTGAAGTTAAGAGTAGGGGGGAAATTATCCAAGAAGACACTACAGACCCTTTCAGTTTTCTGAGGTGTATCTGAGAGTTTTTTTACCGCCTTATAAAGAGATTATAATAAAAATAAAATAAATAATAAAAAAAGACACCCTAGTTTTCAGAAGTAACTTTACTAAATTCTTTGTTTTGGGCTGGGAAGAAGCAGAAATATTTCTAATTAACTCTCTTCCAAAAATTATCTGAATTTAGGGTCAAGTGTTGAATTGCCGCATTAAGCTGGCAGAAACCCCTCTTCCCAAGCAAAATCCCCCACCAAATTCTGTATTCATACTGCAGAGCACAAGTCTGTAAACCAAGAGATGCCAACACCTTCAGCCAATTCAACCAAAGTCCATTTCTACTGCAAAAACGTCAAGCTAAATTACTCTTACAGTTCACTTCCTTCCTTAACTTTTATGCTGAAAGCAAATCTCTCTCCTCATCTGAGACCATATCTCAACATCAGAGTTTTTTTGCACAGAACTCCTAACCGGTTTCAGTGAGATCTGCCTTCAGAAACTGATGGCATGATATGGTCCCTGGACACGGCTCAAATATGCTTATGACAGTCTCAAAAATGTCAGTGGTAAGCCTGAGTTAGCTTTTTATCTCAGAAAACAGTAGATGAATTTAAACAAGCATTTTCTCTTGCTCTAGCCAGGAAAAAAAAAAAAAAAGACAAAAGATACAACAACAGTATTAGAAATAACATCTAAATAACACTAGCTATTAAAGTACTGTTAATTTAGTAAAATGTTATGTATCCTTGAGTAACCTGAGATAAATTCCAAACTACAGCAAGCAAAACAAATTTAAATGCTTTCTTGTAAGGACCACACATATCTCTACCTGTACTGGTTATCAACTGTTTCTGTGAGTACAATTAATTTTTCAGTTTTGCAAAGATAAAACGTGCCTTCTTCAAACTCCTTCGGATTCAATGGGGGTTTTCCTTCATATTAAAAATATGCTGAGATATTTAGTGGCAACAAAAAGCTAATATTGCCTAGGCTTCTAGTATTTTTCCATTCTGTTCTCTATGGTTACCACAATGCGTAACACATACTGCAAAATCTTATGTAGTTCGGTACAAATAATAATTTGACTAGCTAACACAATTGGTAGGATAGAGGGATACTACTCTGTATTCTTTCATGTAAATTTGGCTGAAAACTGGCAAAATATATTACATATATATTTCATATCTCTTCATGGGATTTTTTTTCAACGTTCATTTTGGGGTTTCTTCCCAGTTGGGGTCACTTTGAACACATTTTACCAAGCTGGTTAACCACAACATCTATGGAAGAAATGAAGTTCAGTAACATTTTAAATAACATTTGTAGTAAAATAAATAAATAAATATATATAGTAATCAGGAATCGGTATTGGCACTACAAATCTGGTTCTACAGTTGCACTGATCACATTTCAAGAGCATCTTCTTATACTGTATATTATAAATTCAATGTTCAGTCAGAACCAACTGTCCTTGTACTTGAGACAAACAACACTGTTCATGCACAAATGAGAGACCAAAAGCTGTATGCAAAACTAGCTGACAAAAAATGATCAAATTACTTTGGAGGGGGGAGGAAGCTAAGCAGAAACAAACTGCTTTTGGGCATGTCTGAGAAATAAGTAAATATCTAATAAATTATTTATTTTCTGAACTATTTGCTTTGCTTTTTGCTCAGGTAAGATGGCAGTTGCAAACTGCGGTGACTTGAAGTTACTATTATTAACTACTACATAGTGTATCAATAGTTAAAGTGTTAAACATTGTATTAAACAAAACTGTGTGACTTATTTGCCAACATAACACTGCCTGAACCTAACTTACCTACGTAATTCTTGCATGAGTTTATATATCCCATGAAATTTGGTATGAAGGGCCCAGAACTTGAAAACCTCTGCTGTTAAGGAGGAAAGACACACACATAGAGCTCTACAGAGAATTCACACCATGACTATACTTTCTTTTAGCTAAAAGAGGATGTAAAAATTTTTAAAGTGATAATAATTCAGAACAATGACAAATTACATGCTGATTCAAACCTGGTACCAGTGCATTTGAAACAGAATTTTTATTCTCTAAGCTATGCAAGGAGAAACATCAGCATTTCAAGAAAAGCCCAAATTAAGATTTTTTTTTTTTTACTATATTCTACAATGGACAAATACTTGTTCCTTAAGTTTAAAAATGTGAAATCCAAAGCAAATTTACCTATATAATTTTAATTTTCATTTCCTTTTAAAAAGAATCCTGTTTTATTTTCTGTTAAAACAGACTTCTAAAATTTTGAAATATTATTATTTGCACTGGATATACTGGCATTTCTTCCATAATTTCTGCTTGATTAAATTCCATGAAACATGGCATTAAGTTAAATTCATAGAGCAGAATAAATTATAACAGGGTTAGCTTCTAAAACAGGTGTAAAAAATAACACATTTTAGTGTTACTTATCAGCTTTGCTAGGGCTAAGTTTTTCTGCATTGAAAAGCTGAAGTATATGTTCTGACGTGGACATTGGCAATCTCAGCAACTACTGTTTTTGCAACAAACTACAAAAATATATGACAAGAGTAGATGATCTAAAAATAAAGCTTTTATTTTGTAATCTTTTCAGAAGCCCGAAAAGATATTAAAACTTTCACTAGAAAATAATAGACATAAATGCAAAGAGGAATAAAAGACCACCCCAGGTACACCTGAGAAAGAAGATATGTTGTTCAGTGCATGCATGTGGTCAGTACGGGTATACCTTTGCAGCACAAGACAGTCTGTTGTGTGACTTTGTGACTGGTTCTGCATAGAACCGTTCATGTCCTTTCCAGGAAATTAAGTTTAAGATATTCATAAACCATCACAACTGGAGAGGAATCAAGGCGACTGCAAGAACAGTGGGAAGATTTCTGTATTGTACCAACATGGACACTGGTCCTGCAAGGAAGCGAGGTTCCCTCACAGGAGCTAGGTGACAAGGCAGAAATGAGGAGAGACACTTAAAAGGTGGTAATTACTAAACAGAGCAAAAGAAGGGACTGTTAAATTTAAAAAAATTAAAATAAGTAAAACATGACTGACCTGAGTTCGGTTAAAAGCCACACGTGCAAATACTGCCTGTGAGATTCCTGCTCGTTTCAGCTCGTCACGGACCCACTGGTAGATTTCGGAAGACACCTCTGTGTTTGTTGAGACCTGCTGCTCCAACGGCTTGTTCATGGATCTACTGACAGGAGGAGGGTGGTTCAAGTACTGTTGGTTTAAGGACTGCTGGGCTAGAAGTCTGTTCACTGCATACTGCTGGTTCAGCAACTGGGCCATTACCAGCTGCTGATTTACCAGCTGAGGGCTAATGGGAGTAGATACAAGTCCAGGGTGCAGGTTTGGAAGCGGGGTCCGAACTGATGGTTGACTACCATGAGAAAGCTGAACAGGGGATGGAGGCTGTTCGGCTGTGTTCCCTGGGACTGGCTGCTGACCGAAGTTGACATGGTTGGCACCTTGCTGGGATAGTTCAGAAAGGCTATCCATCTCAACTACGGTGGAAAAGAAACATTGAAAAAGCCAATGTAAGATGGAAAATCACAGACTTTGTGCTCCTCGTAAGATGTGCTAATAAAAATAAGAAAATACAAAATGGCGCATTCAGGTTCACGCTTACTATATTCTCCAGTCTACACCAGCAGGCCCATAACATCATTGCTGAGACTATTTGCCTTCAAAATTTACCTACAAATAATGGTGTTGTGAATATATTAAAAAAAACCCCAACAAACACCAGCATCCAACAAACTGCCCCACCATCATCACCAGGCCCTTGGAGAAACCAGCAGAATATCATAGGCAAAACCATGTGCTGGAAACCACATATGGCAAAGGAGCAACTTGCTGAGAGTTCTGCAAAGGTGCAACGTGGTGTGTGGCTGCAGACTGCATCCCCAAAGCTATGGATGAGAGGGACTTCAGGCAAGGCAGCAAGCAACTAGAGTGGAGCTGAAGAGAAGAGGCAGGAAACCACTCTGTGCTGCAGAAGATGCGGGTGCAATGGTAAATGCATCTGCACAAAGGGTACGGAGAGATGATACAGGAAAGCACACCCTGAACAGAGAGAGCAGCCCCAAATAACTGGTTTTGTTCCTCCCATGGTGTCCCTGCCACGACATCTGCAATTCCCAGCCACTGGAAATCTGTAACAAGCAGGGTGGGATATGGACCTCTCCATGCTCTGCTAATTTCTAGATGCTGCATCAATTGTATGGGACTGCTAGGAACTAGTATAATTTATGTAAATTACACAGATGGGCTGCTTTATCTTGCAACCATGTATGCATGGTTTTTTTCAGTGACTTGCAACATGGTTGATTTTTTTTCTTATATTAACTCATCCGCCTTGACACACCCTCCTTTTTAATGAACAACACAGTTTTTTAAACTACAAGAGTTGCTCCAGCTCCCCACTTGTGCATGATAAGACAATATAAATTAACTTTAGGCTGCTGTAAAGGAGCCTTCTTTTCATCAATGTATGTCGCTTTTTCAGTTTAAACAATCTCAGTTCTAGAGTTTTAGCAATGCAGGTCTGGAGATAGCTTTAAGAAAATATGCTTTATTTAAAAACCAAAAGTCGAGTATCTTCACGAAACTGCTGTAGCAATTGTTTCTTATACTAATAAAGCATATTTCTTTAAAAAAAGGCAGTGTATGAGCTTTTCATAGTAATTATGAACTGCACTAAGAGTCCTTCAGTGGAAGACCACCCTTTCCTCCACAGGGGTGAGAGCTGGAAGAAGAAATTGGCACCTAGATTTCCACCCGCAGGCTTGCCTTCCCCCTCTGTCCTATCATGGGCAGAAATTAAACAAAATACAAAACCAAACTAACCAAACAAAAAACAAACAAACAAACAAAAAGCACAACCCCCTACCCAAAACCAACAAAAAAATCCCAAACCCAAAAAACCCCTAAGTGCCTTGTTCTGCAGAGAGGTCTGGTGTCCACAGCATTAATGGGTCCCCTATCAGAGCACCCTCTGCTCCTTTTCCATGTGGCTTTGGAGGCAGCACAGCCTCTGCCCCCAGCATTAGGTCACACAGGAATACACACAAGCACACGTTTCCTATGCCCTGATTTCATTGTCCCTGAAATAAATGGATGGTGAACCTGTCTTGCAAGACATTGTGTAAGGCAAATTTTACAGGGGTTGCCCTTTGTGGGAGTGCTGCAGCAATAGAGGTGGGAGAGGACACTACAGAGAGGTCACACCCCCATGCAGGTGTACTGCTGGGTTGCATATGGACCACTTAAAACCAAGTTGAAGTCTTACCACCAGCTTTGGTGGTCTCAGAAGAAGGGTTCAGTGCTGCACAGAAGGTATGAAGTAGATAAAGAAGCTGCCTTTTTCACTAGCAGAAGGCAGAGATTAACCCAAGTGAGCCATTCACTTGGAATAGTAATTCAAGCAATTATCACAAAAGTGATGCATTGTCTTCATTACAGCCTTAAGCTATAAAAGGCAAGGAACCCGTTTTGGTAGATGAATAATTTTGCTTCAAATACTGAAATCTAAGTCAAGCTCAAAATTCATCCCAACTGAGGTCCCAATTCTTCATTCTATTGAAAACTACATAGAAATTGCCTGACATACAGTGCTCAAGATTACATTCACAGGTTTAAGAAACAGTTTTTGAAACGGACAATACAGAGAGATAAAGGGTATTACAGAATTATTATGTTCAACTGATGGATTTTTTCCTGCAGTAATTTACTTGGGCTTACCACAGTAAGCAAATAATTGTCACAACAACTATTTGTTAAAATTAAATTAAATCAGGGTCCCAAAATTAGAGGAAGATATGAATTTATAAAATCACAGCTTTCTTGATGGAAGGCAGTGATAGTTACAGAAGCCTGTTTCTTTAAATATACATTAGCCAGAGCAAGAAAAAAATTACAAACATTAAAAAAATCCGTCCATCACAGTTCCAGAAACAGGTTTTTTAAACAATTGTTTTGGGCAGTAAGAAGATCTCTAGATTTACAGAATGACAGCTTTACATCTCTGGCAACCCAAGTCAGCTTGGCTGTTTCAATAGCAAATATTTATTTAAATGAATTCTTTCACTATATATGTACTTTCTACTTCTACTCATCAAAAGCATCCTAAACTTATCATGAAGGGACCTGGCTTCTTATATGACTGTGACAGACCTCAACGTGACACATAACAGTATGTATCCACCATCAAGGCAATTTTTAAAAACTTTTTTTTTGCTTACCCATCATATCTTTTGCCTTCTTGAAATGTTTATACCACCTTCCAAATTCCTGACATTTTGCTGCTGAGACATTTGCATAGTAAGTGCTGTTCACAATGGAAGAAATCATACTCTGTGTGAAAAGGGGAGAAGAAAAAAATAAATCTGTAATACAGCACAGTCCAAGTCAAAGCACAATTTATTTCAATTGTTGAAACCATTGTATTTTTAGAGTTTGAGAAACATATTGCATTTTTAATCCTATTGTTCAAAGCCTTTAAAAAAACTCATTAATTGAGCATAAAACCAAACTGAGGTATATCGTAAATGGGAGCAAAAAAAGCAGATGTACTAAGGGAAGAACAAAGTTATTGACCCAGAAACATCAGGCAATGGGATGGGCTCTGGACATGAGAGGCTAATCTTGAGAGTGCTTTTTGTTCATACTCTTTCTGCTTTTAAAGATGATTGACCCTTCACATACCCACACAAGTTTACAGGCATACAAATCCTACACTGAATCAAAAAATGCAAGCAGAGCCCCAGGTTACACATGCTCATTCCCTTTGTGCTGCTTATCACAGGGCAGACCCCAGAAGATCAGAGGATGAAAGTTTATCTGAGTGATTTATTAGTAGGATAAAGTAAGGAGTTTTGTAGTAGAATAAAATATGTATGTAATAATCCAAAATGAATCCAGACTTGCTTTTTCCTAAACAGGGTATTTTAAGTGATTTGCAGAAACAGGCTTACGAAAAGCTCTTATTGTCATGTCAAATTCTGTAACAATATTAGCTGTAAAATAGACCATGGGATGATAGAGACAATTTTTTTTTTTTTTCAAAGGTTCTCAAGACATCAGATAGCTGCAGTGAGAAATTTACCTTCTGCTCAGTTTTGACCAATTTCAAAATAGTGAAATTCACAATGCATAAAACTTTCAGTTCCAGTACATTCTTTTACAAAATCAATTAAAACTAAGCCTTGCAAAATGAGATAATGCTCCAGCTTGAAAATAATACTCAGCATATGACATATGAGCAACAAAATTAGTAAACATCATTTCAGTAGAGTGAACTTTGCCATCCTTCAGATTTCTATGTGAAGTAGTTACTTTTGGCTTATAGGAATTGTCCAGTCTATTGAGAAAACAGTGACAGTCAAAAAGACAAAGTGCTGTTTATGTTTCATTATTCAGCATGTAACATTTAGCTATAATTGTGCTGTTGTAAAATCAATGTACAGTATCAACCCTTTGCTACAGGAACTGCAACAACCACTGGAAGAAAGTTTGGAGTAAAAACACAATAAATATCACTGTAAATCTTCTTTTATAAGGTTAGTTCAGTTTCTGAGTAGAAGTGCCTTGATTATTGGAGTGAAGTTCACGATAACCATTTTCTAACGTGTTATTCAGTAACAAGCTATTTGTGGAAGCTCAGAACTGCTAGAGTGAGGCAACATTATTCATGCCAAATCTGGACACCCTCTACTCACCAGGCAGCTATTTTAATGTTTCTCTGAATCACCAAAATTCTTACCATTCCTTGATAAAAATCTGGCACTTCTGAAGTTAGCGAGAAGCCTTTTGTCAGTGGTACAAAAGGAGAATGAAATCTTAATAGACTTCTGCAACTCTTGAATGACCTGAACCAAGCTCAGGTGAACCCAATTTCCATTTCCAATATAATAGCAGTATCATTAATGTCTAATACTTACAGAATTACTGTTTAAAGTCTTTTACAGATTAAATCATTTTAAACATGGACACATGATGCATAAGGCATGATTTTAAAAGTCCCTTGGATCTGAACTGGTAAATGATTTGAGTGCAGCTGCTGTATGTGCAAAACCTGCCCATCTGCATGTGCAAAATGGGGACCTGCACGTGTAACAGACCACCACACCATATGAGCTTATGCATATTTTGCAGATGTTGTTTAGACTTCAAGGTGTTTTTCTCTCATTTTACTTTGCCCCTTTCCGAATCTTCTCCTGCCCAAATAACTTCACTTAAAGTGCGAACATGAATATTAAGAAAAATTTAGTAAATTACCTAATACTGATGCAGATGTTTGTCTAGGATTCCCTAGTCCTCCCTTCCATGTCATTTTACAAAGAACATATGCCAATGACATGGCAGCTTGTGACATCCCCTGCTTCTTCAGGAATAAATTTAATGCAGTCACTTTATTTTACAAGCAGAAAGGGGACTGGCCTGTTTAAGTAACACTGCTAGAAATTTTAGCTTCTTTGACACAATGTGAATTTCAGGCTCTAATGGCTAGTATTGGGATTTTACTTCAGCTCTTCAAAGTAGATAAAAAAAACCCCACAGACATTATCAACACGTTTTAAAATGAAAAGTATCCTGCTTTTTCTTCAAGAACACTTCATGCAAACATTCAAGTGATATTACCTACGCTAAGGATCCTCATCAGTAGGAATCAATGATTTATTTACTAATTCACTGAAGGCAAAATTTTACAAGTCAGATAAAATATTACTACCTTGTTAACTCAGAAAATAACTTGACAACATTGAATTTCATTGTTTCTATGCTTTATTTATTATGTTGTCATCAAACCTGCAGTCACGTCAGTGCAGAGAGATGCACTTTGCTACAGAAATTCCTATAGCTGTAGAATTCCTGTACGTTGCTGTGGCAATCTACATATAGGAATGCTCACTATGCTCAGGGCCTAAAACTGAAGATTAGCCCTATGAGTTACTGGTCTTTAGAGATCAATGATCTAGACTGGAGACATACTGAAGTTTTATTTCTCAGGTCATTACATATGAAGAGCTCCCTGTGTCTTGGCTTATACTTATCAATAATCAACACAAAAATTATTGTATTTGAAGCACATCATATTCATATGTACTACTGTACAGAGGCATTCCTTATCTGTAAGGCACAGAGGCAGATGCCTTCCATGTAGAAGACAATGAATATAAATCTATCATACAAATATTCAAATGTATCACATTCATCACTCATAATCTGATTTCTTTTTCACACATCACAAATAAATAGAATGCAAAAACTGGTCACAAATTTGCAGTCTTAGCATATCTCGTAGAAGCCTGTCCTT